TCATAGGTCAGTTCATCTGTATTCATCTTTTATTTGTAATTATTGTTAATTTTTCAAAATAACAGACTTATTTGATAGTTTTTGTCTCTTACAGAGATGTTGGCGGTAGATTACGTTAATGATCTTAGAATAGTTGCCAAGCAACCGAAGATGACGGCCATTAATTCATGTATCGAAGTGGATATCACCGGTCAGATTTGTTCGGACAGTATTGGTACGAGAATGTATTCCGGTTTCGGTGGACAGTTAGATTTTATCACAGGCGCTGCGATGAGTGAAGATCGACAAGGAAAACCAATCATAGCGCTTCAATCAGTCACCTCTAAAGGCCAAAGCAAAATACAACCGGTTCTAACATCAGGTAAGTAGATGAAATTATTTTTAATGATGCACAAATTCTTTCTAAATTAATATTTAATAGGTGATATACAAATACAATAATATACATTGACGTCGGCTATTGATTTCTGCCATCATCAGAAAAATATTATCCTACTCTAATAATTTCTCCCTATGATAGTACTCCTTAATCCAAAATAATGATATGCCATAGCACACGAACCCATGAGAAAGCACAATCTTTGGTCTACGAAGTTACCTTGCTCGTTGGCCGAGATATTCAGCTCAAACATAAGCTCCGTGAGTTTATATTTAACTACCGCTCAGTCACAAAAATTCATAATTAATGGTGGAAATCGTCAGATTGTTACAATAAATTAAAACGAAATAGAGACTTTAACGCTCTTTGACGGTCAATTTTATAATGATCAATTTTATAAAATTGAGCTCAATATCTCGGCCAAGGAGCTAGGTAACTTCGTGGACCGAAGATTGTGCTTACTCACGAGTTCGTGTGCTATGGCATATCATTATTCTTGGATTAGGATAGGATTTAATATTGTTCTTAAGATGGCTAAAATCAATAGCCGAAACGTTAATGTATATTATTTATATATCATCTATTAAATATTAATTTAGAAAAAATTTGCGCACCATTTACAGCATTGACTCCATATTAGTCCCTTTGTAATTAATTTTTTATTTGCAATTATAAGGAATTCTAATTACTTTATTAATTTTATATATTATTTTATATTTCATATAATATTATATATTATTTTAATATATTATATTATTTATTTTAAATCACTTTTTTAATTAAAATATGAATGTTTAATCTGATTTTATAATAATTACATTTCACATTGATTTTAATAGTTGCAAATGTATGAAATAAATCAATCATTTCGTCATGCTATGCTAACAGGTGCTGGAGTAGTCACCAATAGAGCGGTGGTGCGATATGTAGTAACAGAGCAGGGAATTGCCAGTCTATTCGGCAAAAGTCTTCAACAACGTGCATATGAGTTAATTCAGGTGGCTCATCCCGATCACAGAGAAGCGCTCGAGAAAGCGGCGTTCGAACGCCTAAAAGTGATGCCCGCTCCATAAATTAAAAAGCGTATGATGTAGGAAACACATTTAATAGCATTTTACAATCGGTCTCCCGTGTACTTTAACCGTGCACAACGGCCAACTATCACTTCGTGTCGCGAAGTGTCTTCTTGTACAATATTGTATATGCTCTCTTACTAGAAGACAATTCACTGGCCTTCTAGAATAAGAGAGAGGAGAGAAAGAGAAACATGTACTAGACCGAAAAATGCACTAAATTGTATCATTATGTACGTAAGAATTTGTAATGCGAGATTGCATCTCTATATATTCCATATATATATAGATATTAATTTAAGTTACGTATTTTGTATCGCAAAAACAAACGTTCTAGAACGTGCTTTGGAACACGATTCAGATAGAAAATGGCGAAACTTGACGCTATTTCTAGATGTAAAACATTTTTATATTAAAGTCAACGTTTCTTTGTATAATTTTTAGTGTTTTCATACAAAATTGTAATGTAAAAAAGTTGAAATAGTACGCAGAAAGAAATTATTAGTTGAGTGAGAATGATTTACCGTTAGTATACCTTATATCTCCTGTATATTTTTTATTAAAAAAATAATAAAATAATAGTGAAATAATATTTGCGTTTTTTATGTTCACATTCAATTCAAATGCGCGGAATTCACATCAATAATTCGTTCATGGATTGTGAAACTGTCAAAAAATCGAACGCCGTCAAATCAGATGTTCAAATAGCGATTTTAGACATTTGTAGATAGAAATGTCAATGGATTCACTTCGTTAGACATATGTGCTAGACATATAGCGAGATTTCTTATATTATGTTTTATATCAATTTTTATACAACATATCGTGTTATCAATGAGAACTTAGAGATCTCGCCTTATCAATTTTAAGACGATAAAAATGTTTCGAAATCTAAAATTGGTATTCGGAAAAATTCAGCACGCAAAATCTTTTCAATTATGTGGACGGCGATACACAAATTTGTTGAGGGAACCTTCTCAACCTTTAAAACGATGTCCAAAATGGGTTTGCGTGGAAGATGCAGTAAAAATCATAAATTCAGGTACTTGTAGCCGCATTATATTTTAGACCAATATTTATTTTATTTTCTATATAGAAAAGAATTGCTTTTCCAAAAATGTTTTTAATTGACTAAAATTAACAATTCGTTTAGAAAGTTATCTAGATTCGTTGAATTATAATACTTAATATAGTTTTAATTTTTAACATAATTATTCCAATTTTTTAATTCTAATGTCTGAGTAAAAACTATGATAACTTGAAATTTTTCTTTTTAATATTGTTACAAATGCTACTACAAGATAAATAAGTTTGTTGTAAATAAATTATTTTTTTTCCCAGAGCATTTAGTTTTCATACAGGGTGGTGCAGCTACGCCAATGGAATTAGTGCGTGCCATGACCGAACACGGAGTATGTAATAATTTGCGTGGAGTCAGATTAGTGCATATGAATCTTGAAGGAGATACGCCATTTGCCAATCCAGAATTTGAGAGTACGGTACTTGCATTAATTAATCTCATTGATAACAATGCCTGAGTGAGAAATAAATAATAAGATATCTGCGACGATATTTAAGAACATTTTAGGTCCATCAGTCTGTATGTGGGCACTAATCTTAGAGAGGCAATAAATGAGGGACGAGCAGATTGCATCCCGGTATTCCTACACGAGACACCAAAATTGTTCTTTGACAAAAGGATCATGCCAGATATTGCGCTAATTCATGTGAGCATGCCTGATGCGCGTGGATTCTGTTCGCTTGGCGTGAGCGCGGATTGTACCCGTGCCGCGATTTGCTCAAGCAAAGTCCTTATTGGTTCGTTTTGAATTAGTAATAATGATGATATTGTTAATAATAGTCATAATAATTGCAACCAGACAACTATTCAGCCACAAAACTATCTTAATATACAGAGTATCTCGAATTAAAATGGCCAAATTTCGGGAACATATAGGAAATTTATAACTAAGAAAAAAAGTCCTTTAGAGACATGCTCATTTTTGCTTCGTTTTCGAGGAAATCACAAAAAAAAGACAAAATAGTTTTCATTTTTGTATCTATTACTTATTATTCACATTCACTTCTTATTTACGTTATTTTACTTAATGCAGATATTAATTAAAATGTTGGCCTTTTGCAATGCACGCATTGCATCTTGTATAGAATACAATACAATACAGCTCGTGTTGCAGCTAAACATTGATCTGGAACATGACTCACCGATCCGGTACTTTTCTGTTTCGTAGATCCGGAAATTTCCGGAAATCGGCACGTATATTTTCGCACTGCCTCTGAAACATTATCGTTGAAGTCGTACACGAAAGCAATATTTTGTTTTAAAAATTTTATTCCGCTTTGAAAACAATAATATCCGAAAATTATGTTTTATCTATCGATTTCCCACACGCTCCTGAAATTTAGTCATTTAAATTCGAAATATCCTGTGTACGTGATGAGAGAGAGAGAGAGAGAGAGAGAGAGAGAGAGAGAGGGGCGGAGGTCTGAGAGTTAATCTTCTATATTATATCTTTTTGTGCTATACTATGATATTAATATCTACAAATAATTTTAAAATTATTATAAAAGTATTTCTTTTCAGCGCAAGTAAACGAGTACATGCCGAGGTCGTACGGTGACACTGTGGTACATTCGAGTCACTTTGATTGGGCGGTGAGATACGATTGTCCTCTGCCCTGCGTGGCTTGCCCACCGCCTAACGATCTCGAGCAAGAGATAGGTAAAATTATCGCGCAGCGATTGATTGAAGATGGAGCGACACTGCAGCTCGGCATCGGCTGCATTCCTGACGCGGTGCTCTGCGCTTTGGTCAATCACAAAGACCTAGGCGTACACTCTGAAAGCATTTGCGATGCGATGATCGACTTGGTCCAGCATGGTAACATCACAAATAGGTGCAAGACCAAGCACAGAGGACGTATAGTGAGTTCCTACGCCGTCGGCACGAAAAGATTGTACGATTTTCTGCACAACAATCCGGTCATCGGTAATTATAATCAATTGCTTTACTTCGATAGTTTTAAAAAAGGATGTCGCGTTATTTTATAATTGTAATTATCGCAACGCAAGAAATGCTAGCGGTCAATTACGTGAACGATCCCCGAATTGTCTCGGGGCAGCCGAAAATGACAGCCATTAACTCTTGTATCGAGATGGATCTCACCGGCCAGGTGTGCACGGACAGTTTAGGTTGTAAAATATATTCCGGTTTCGGCGGCCAACTGGATTTTCTTCGAGGCGCAGCGATTAGTCAAGACGGTCGTGGAAAAGCTATTATCGCGTTCCCCTCAGTTACCCGCCTTGGGGAGAGTAAAATACAACCGATGTTGAAACTTGGTATAAGATTAGCAAACAAATACTGCAAGATAAATTTTTTATTTAATAAATCTATGATATATTAACGTATCTTTTATATAGGGGCTGGAGTAGTGGTAACAAGAGCTCATGCGCATTATATAGTTACGGAACATGGAGTGGCAGATCTTTTTGGTAAAACCTTACGACAAAGGGCGAATGCACTGATCCAAATCGCGCATCCCGATCACAGAGAATGTCTTGAAAAGGCTGCATTCGAGCGCTTGAAATCTAACCCTACGAAATACTTGTAATATTTTTTTGTGATATGTAAATACAAGTCGTGTAGTAGTCCAAATCCTATTCTGATAATAAATTTTGTGTGTGATAAGAATACAATAATACTGCGTTAGAAAAATTAATAAATTTTATATTTATAATAATAAATATAAATACAATCTCAAAGTTAAAAATATGTTGCAATGATAGGAACATTCATGTTTATTAACACAGTCGCAATATGATGATCTCAATAATTTATATATAATTTGTAAATGAAATATTCAAAAATATATTTTACATTTAAAATAAACGAAATGTTAAAAGTCTATACCTTCTGGTAAAGTTCCCTCTTTTCTTCTCTTTTCAACATTCTCATAATATTCAGAAAAATCTACATAAGGCTTAATTCTAGCATTTCGCTCCGCCATTCTAGCACCGGGCGGATACAGATCTGATGTTGATGTTTCAGTTGTCGATGTATCGACATTGTCATCTGTAACACCTGTGCTGGTGCTCGATAAGTCCTCGTTATCCAGTATATTAATTGGCTGCACCACGGGATTAAATCTGACCGAATGATCGGGCCGATTGGTCGGACTCTTTAGTGCGTGCGGTAGTGGGAAGTTAAAGTTTCGCACTAAAAGAGTTATGTCGTCACGCTTGCCAGTGGTCATGGTATTCTGTGTGTTGCTCATGTTTATATCATGATGAATTCTCACAACTTTGTCTACCACCGCCTGGGCGACTCCAGTTAAAGTCGATTGTACTCGAAACTGGATATTTTAAAATGAATTTATATATTTTAATTGACTGTTTTAATTAAGATTTATATCAAGATTTATTTAGGCTTTAAGTTAACTACCTGCTCAACCGCTATCAAGGCCAATTCTTTATTGACTTGATCTGTTCCGGTCGCTTCTTCTAATGATTTATATAGGCCACGCGACATAAGCAATAAAAATCTACAAGATTCGTCAAGCTCGATACTTCCATGGATTTCTGGTTCGGCAATGATCGGTTCTGCCACGGAAGCTGTTAGTTCTTCGAACTCTCTGTATCCTCCCTTAACAAGATAATTACCAAGGCAACGCGTATTTTCCTGATTTCCAAGATGAGATCCTGCAATATATATTTCTATTTATCAGAATCCTTTTTTTTTTTAATCAAAACAAATGTCGAATAAGATACACAAGACTTACCTTGCCTAATTGATTCGACATCTAAACCCAGTTGAGACAATCGCAAAAGCTCGTCTTCATTTCTTAAGTCATGATCTAAGCTTAATTGTACTACTCGTAAAACTTGATTGCTATCTGTTTTGCACAACAACGCCCTGCTATCTCCAACATTCGCGACGTAAAGCCTCCCTCTATAGACTAAAGCAACCACAGCACTAGTACCAGTCGACAGCTCGCAATTTAGCGCATTTAGTTTGTCAACCTGCAAAAAATAAATTGTAACAACGCATTAAAAATGCAGCTGTACAATTTTAATATTATGATTAACCAAGTCTGGAAACTTTTGGTAAGTCTCATAAGGAGTCAATCCATCAGGTATATCAAATTGTAGACTAGCTCGTTCTGCTAATAAATCACCAATTGAATCTTGATATCCTTTTTCAACTGCTATGAATGCTTGCCTGTAAAACAAATACTTTACATATAGAAGATCTTTAATTGCAACTGTAACACATTAGTTTATTCAGCAAAATATATGTTGAAGTTATTTTATTCATATCATTTATTTAAATTTTTTTCATATCAATGAAATTTTTACCGAAGAACTTCCTTTACTTCCTCGTCGGTTGATTTACCATTTAACTGCCCAAGCAAGATCTCTGCGGCCATCCTTTGCATAGCAAAGTTGGCTGCCTTAGTACCTTCATGGCCATCAAATACAGCATAAAGAAATGTGGAATCGTCATATTTACAATGAAAACTACGATCCTCAAATGGATGCTCTTCCTGTCGATATCCATCTTCTCGATAGATTTGATTAGTAGAAAAGCCTACTCCTAAAATATCATATAAAATCTGCTATGACATTCTAATAATTCCATTGTATAAATTTTGTATATATATAACTTTCTATAAACTTTGTATATAATTATTATTTGATTTGATGTATAAACTAAAATGTCATTAATTTTATATAATAATTTTTATACATATAATTTTTCAACATATTAATATCTTTATAATATGATGCTTGATTGAGCACTGAATTATTAAAATTGCTTGTCAATTTAATTAGCGATTACTAAAGTTTAATTGCGTTTATAGTCTAGAAAAACAATTTGGTGCACAAAAGACTATAAATATGATATATATGCAAGAACATATATAGTATATATAGTAATTCAAGATTAAATTATTTTAAGCATTAAAAGATCCAGCTTCGACCGTAAAGCCCCAGACACAATGCAAAGGAACAGCAATAGAAATAATACAATTTCAATTTATCAGAAACTGTATATTCCAGTGTATCTGATTTCTGATAGATTGAAATCGTCTTATTTTTATCGCTATTGCTATTCCTTTGCATTGTGTCTGAAGCTTTATAGGTCTTTAATTTTTAGTATTGATTGTGTTCTCACATATGCGGTTTAAAATAAAGTTTTTTAATATTATTTATAATTTTTATAGTTATTGATTTTCATGTAATAAAGGAAAGTTTTAGGATAGTACGTATTGCTAATTCGCCAATTTAAAATAAAATATTTTCATTAATAAAGCAAAATTTCATTAATAAAGCAATACTTGTTAAAAGATATTATAATTTATCAAATCAAGTAATAAACATATGTTCTCTATCAAAGATTAACTTTTGAGTTTGTGCTGAAAATATTAATGTTATTGTTATTTCTATTGTGTTAAGATTATTGTTAAATACTTGATCAATAATTTTAGAATAACAAAGAAAAATATACCGGACTGTTTGCAAACTGGTAAATCGTCCGTCCAGTTATATTGACTGTCCTGAAAGAGCATCGAAGCCGGACGTTCCGCACCTGCAGACATTCTTTTCTTTTTATTTTACTTTAACTCATGGTTAGCGAAATGTAACAAAAATTATTTTGCACGATCTTGTATGATAAAAACCAAACAAATTGTAGGTTGGATAATTATACAGTATAGCCTTCCTTAACTCTAATCTTGATGAAATTAGATTCATTTGAAGCGTTTTTGCACGAAACAAACAAACTTGGCAGGTAAAAACGTCACTCTGACCCGCAAATCGAAATATTAATTGTTAAAGTTCATCACTGTTTAGGTTAGGATTTCAATTATACCTTCTTTTCTGTTTTTATTAGTCCTCATGTTTTCTATTATATCGATGCAGTATTGCCAGGTATCAGTGAAAAAATTTCCCTGCTAATATATACAGATTTCCCTAGTTTTCTATATTTTTCTTCAATTTTTGTTTTTTATAAATTTTATTAAAATAAAATTGTAAATTATTTTTTATTAATGTATCAGTAGTGTATACTTATGGAACTAAAAGTGATGACCAATCACAGTCATCGATTTGTAGCTTGCGATTTCTGATTTATGACTATAGGTGCATTTTCATGAGCTGCAATCTTCTTATTATCTGGTTGGTTTTTGCCTCCAGTATTGAGAGGAAACAATATGGCCAGATAATATCAAGAAACACGAGCTGCTCAAATTGGCCGTTTTCAGCGACAAAAAAGATCACATGACGACGTTTGTCGCAAACATTTAGAGCGATAATTTTATACATGATATTAGAGCGTCAATTTTATGCACGAAGAAGAGCAAGAAGCGTTAAATTTGACATTTGAGCAACGGATTCGATATGTTGTTCGTATTTTTCATGTATCATTTGCAATATTAATACGTTCAATTAAATAGTTATTAGATTATTCTGATTGCATCGAATTTTTTATCTGAATCAACAATAAAAATAAGAAATTAGGTTATGTATATCGCAGTCAACGGTGATCAACACGGTCAATACAGTATTGTTAA